GATTTGCTCCTGCTCAGCCTTGTAGGGCTCCGACTTCTCAGGAAGACTCGGATTCCACGCTGTGAGGTCCGCCAGCGCACCGGCAGGTGCCAGTGGAACACTGTGCTCAAGTGTTGACATGAATTGAAGTTCCACAAGTTTTGGCTGCAGCCTCTCCCACACAGCATTCGCCAAACTCGACACCATGTTCTCAATTGAAGATCGAGCTGAACTGTTGCTCGGCAGTGCAGCACCACCACCTAGGAATGTCTGAAAGCATTCCCCAACAGCCATCTCACATGCCGTCATCATCGGAAGTGTTGGGTTTGCTGGCGCCGGCGGAGGAAAGGCAGGTTGAACTGGATGTGTTGCTGCCAGACGTGCATCCCTTGGATGTAACGGACGAGACTTGGGCGGATCTTTCGGTTCCGGCACACCCTCTGGAGAATCAACCTCAACCACTAGCGGCTTTGGCGGCTTTGCAGCCGGCTTTTTCGGCTTTGCAGGCATGCTTTTCGTAAGAGGTGCTGGCTTTGTTTTTGCCGTTGCCCCTACTTCTGCTGATGCCAATTTTTTTGCTGGCGGTCTTGCTTTTGGTGGTGCTCCTGCTTTTGGTCCTGCCCCTGGCTTGTCTGTTGATGCTGTTGCGCTGGCTTTTGTTTTTTTTGCTGGTGATGCTTTTGGATCATTGGTCCACTCTGGAGCGGGCACTGGTGGCCTGGCAAAAGCCGGAGTAGCAGAACTGGAGGATGCAGGATCACCACCCCCTCTTGTGGCGTCATCGACATCTGTCTCCGGGATCTCAAGCGGAGCAGTTCGTGCTCTTTTGGCATCTGGCAGCACCTCAAATGCTTTGCATTGAAGACGACACACACACACACACACTCAATTGAGGATGTCAATTGTGACTGAAATGTTATTATTTATTCTTGAAGCTGAAGCGAAAATGTAGTGTTGCTCCCAGCTGCTGCTGCTGCAGCAGTTCCTCTTGACTTCGTCTTCTGATTTCGCTTCTGAAGCTTCTGAAATGTCCTGGAAGGTAGGTCCACGGGATGTTCCTGCTTGTCCTTGACCATTCTTGTTTTCAAGTTCCTGAGTCAAAGTGGTACGTGTTGGCACTACAGGGCAGACTGCAAATCAAATCAATGCGGAATTCGAGTCCAGGCACATCTGAATGGAAGCCCAATCATTCTGATTTGCAAATTGGTCGGTCCATGTGGTCCAAGCATTTTGCAATGCTGCCCCCCATTCATGCGACGACCAACCAATGGACGGCAGGAGATGCTTCTGCTTCCTGATGCACACTTTGGCAGAACCATGGATTGCATTTAAATATTTACATATTACAACCTCAAAACAACATTCGAAAATCTGAAGCTGCTCAGCGACACGTCATGGCCATTGGCGAAGTCGATAATGTGCTGTTGATCGGCAGCGATGGCTCTGTAATCTTCCTTTCTGTGCTTCTGGACTAAAGTGTCCAACCATGCGACGCATTCGATGCCACAGACCTGCACTGACAGCTGATATACTTACAAAAACTAGACAATTGAGTGTCACCTGGACCAATGAGTCAGTTCAGCACAGCGACTTGGAAGAGAGCCATGACCAACGCAATCATGGCACACGTCCTGTGCCATCCCGCCGAACAGCAGATCCTGACAATTGAAGGACCACATAGGAGGGTTATAATTATCCTAGTCCCTGAACCTAAAAAAACCTCCAAGACCTTCAGCATTCAAAGACTCGAGAAGCCTGAGCAACTTGTCGGGAAAATTGAGGATGAAGTGGAGCGTCTTGAGCGCTGCGGGATGACTATACACCTCGGTCATTAGGGTGAATTCTTGTTAAAATTAAAATTAATTATTATACAACTCGATTCATGAAGCAACACCTGTTCGACCAGGCACCTGTTCCATGATATGCGCGTATAGGCCACATTCTCTGCCAAACCTTCCTCCTTGGGCCTCCCTTGGCTTCCATCCATGACTGTCACTGTCACTGCCCTCAATTGTCAATTGAGTGAAACTGAAATGAATGAAACATGTACAAATGTCATGAAGCTTCGACACGTGCATTTGCACCTGCAAGCGAACCTCCCATTTGTTAGAAAAGTTACTTTCCCTGTCCAACTTCTCCAACAAGTCTGCCATCTGAGGTGATGGACGATTTCCATGGGCGGCAACCCCATAACCAACGATCACCACTCTCTTCGGCCAAACGTAGGTTTTGCCGCCCACCAAAACTGACCTCACATCGTCATCAGTAGCATCAATAGCCGGTTCGTGGTCTCCACCGTCCCCAATCGTCCGAGTCGTCTTCTTCTTTTCCTTTGCCCCGCCCCAAGTCACCGGAACTTTTCGTTGAGGCGTCTGCGGCTTTCTTGCTGCCGTAGTTCCCGACATCGAATTGGCTGTATGCTATCCCCAAGCTTTGATTGTGCCTCGAATGAACACGGAATTGTAATGATGAAAGTTTAAGCGCCAAAAAAAAGGGCTGCATCAATCTTTGCCAAAGTGCTCTCTAACGTTCTTGTTACAGGCTGACAGAATCCAGGCTTCTGGTTTCTGGATGCCGTCTCTTCCCCGTTTGAAAGCTCTCCTCAAATGTTGTTGCATTGAAACAATGACATGTCAGGTAGCAAATTATTCTCAATTGGAAATTGTCTGAAATGTACTGCAGGTGTCACAAGATCAACAGCCTTTCTCGGGCAGAGCAAATAGAGCAAGTAGATTGCTTGCTGTGCTTTCCGGAGATCCTGGCCCTGCTCCTCGAGACACAATTCCTCAGGGAGATGCTGGAGGGCCACACTCGACATAGCACAACTTGAGCCAGAACTGCAGCATTAGGTTACAAGGGGCTCACAATCAATCACCAAGCAAGCTGACACACACACACACACACACACTCACTGAGCCTTCCGCGCAAATATCACTCACATGCCTTCTGAAACGACTTCACCTGGCAAAATGCAAATTTCATGCCAGCCCTGCCCCCCCCCCGGCTCTGTCAAAACATGCCAGGCAGACCACTTGAGCCAGAACTGCAGCATTAGGTTACAAGGGGCTCACAATCAATCACCAAGCAAGCTGACACACACACACACACACACACTCACTGAGCCTTCCGCGCAAATATCACTCACATGCCTTCTGAAACGACTTCACCTGGCAAAATGCAAATTTCATGCCAGCCCTGCCCCCCCCCCGGCTCTGTCAAAACATGCCAGGCAGACCTTGCCATTGATGCTACCACAATAGTTATACTACCGCAAATCATGCTACCACAATTAGCGCTACCACAATTGTTACTACCACAATTGACAAGTTGATGCTACCAGAACTGATGCTACCAGAATTGATGCCACTGCAAAATCGAATCAACCAAGCCAAGCAATGCCATGCTGACTACCACAGTTGCTGCTACCAGAACTGATGGTATCAGAATTGATGCCACCGCAAAATCGAATCAGATGCCACCGCAACAATCGAAGCAATCAAGCCATGCAATGCCATGCTGACTACCACCATTGACATTGATTGATGCTACCAGAATTGATGCCACTGCAGCATCGAATCAACCAAGCCAAGCAATGCCATGCTGACTACCACAATTGATTGATGCTACCAGAATTGATGCCACTGCAGAATCGAATCAACCAAGCCAAGCAATGCCATGCCGACACAGTAACGGCCTCCCCAGCGTCTTTGCAAACACGAGTGTGCTCTGACAGTCATGCGGACTGGAGACTTCTTTAAATGCCACCCCCATTCGGCCAAGATGGGGTCACCCTGCTGAGTATGCGCCGTCTTTGCCCTATGCGGAGCGCTGAAATCCGATTGCCTTGCATACCGGCCCGCAAGAGGACAGGTCATGCTCGTCATCGAGTGCACCGGAATCGCTGCGCAACGCGCCGGTTACTGAAGACCTGTCAATGAGGCACAGCATAAGATGCCATGCGGGGCCATGCCGGCAAGCAGCAGTGATCGAAGTTAATATTTCGACCGTGGTGTGGGTACGTGGCATAGTATTTATTAATAGTAGCGAGGCCTTCCCTGCAATCTGTGTGCATTTCACCCCGCGGCGGACACACCACCTGGCTGGACAGGCGAGCAGCACACAGAGTAAATCCCCAGCGCCCGGCCAGCGACGCTGTCCCGCACGGATCAAGGACCCATTGCTCACGTGGTCCGAGCCCGACTGGAGCGGTCTCTAAGACCACTCTGAGCTTGGGCGTGCAGGATGGGTAGGGCGAGTCGAACCAAGCCAAGCAAGCCAAGCAAGCCAAGCAAGCCAACCAAGCAACCAAGCCAACCAAGCAGTGGCACGTGACAAAGGACCACGTTTCAGCTTCCAACACATCCGGCTTGGACAGAAGCGAACACCATCGCTCAATACATCCGGCTTGGACAAATGCAAAAATGTTTGGCAAAAAAGGGTTTCCTCACGCTGGCTTCCCAGTGTGCTTTAAAATGTTTTGGTCAACGGCCGTGCCCCCGGCACTGAAATTCCTAATAAAATACATAAATAAGCTAATACTACAACAGCTTGAAACCTTAAATCGGTATATTGAACTGCACTATTGAGGAAATTGGTTTTGGCCTTCAAACCCCCCTGATCCAGCCCCCAAGGATCCAACCCTCAAAACGAGTGTGTGGATCATAGCCCTACTCGTACTAAGGCGACTATACTATCTACCTTGTAGTCTATACCGATATACCACTGGCGGAACTGCCACTGCGACTACAACTACAACGACGACCGCGACGGCTACGAGTTGCACCACTACTGCTACTTCAGCAGCACGATTCCTCTGCTGCTTACAACCACTGCTAGGATTCCCTTACAAAAGCATACATACACTCTTCCTTTGCGCTGCTCACTGCTGTTGGTATTTCTCTCACTAATACGCAGAATCGTGCGTTGGTGCTGTGCTACTGATCGCATCCCTGTTCAGGGATGACGGTTGGCAAGTTTAAGCGGACGTACAACTGCCAAACGTCCGAAGCAACGAGTTCCGCCTCTGGCCGGAGGCTTGGGTCGTGGGTCAGCAGGTCGCGAACAAATGCCACGAATGCCTCCGAGGCTTCAATGCATATTGGACATTCTCGAAAGCTCCATCGAAGTTTGCAAGAAGATCAGTGACATTAGCTGGATTCATCTTGCGAAGCGAGGCAACCGAAGGAATCCATCATAGGCCTGAGTAGTTAGACTGGGGTTTCGTGGTATGTGGCACTATGGTTGCACATAATAACATCATTCATACAGGAACCCTAAGCAGCAACATTTGTAATTCTTCAGGTGATTTGAGCTATATTACCTCGCCAACTGCTTTAAGCTCTACGGTTGAAAGATCACCCCCAAAGATTTCAACCAACGACACCATCTGCTGCGAGTCCTGGCTGTGAAGGCATTGGGTTTAAGAGCATCTGGCACTTCAAGGCCGAGATCATGGCGGCTATCCTAGGGCTTTTTTTGGTGCATCGGGCACTTCAAAGCAGCCTCGGGCTGGGGATTCTGATGTGAGGAGCTGCTTGTCCCATGGATCCTATCAGTATTGGTAGGATGCTTGAAAAAGCACGCGCAATGTTGAGTCTCATGCCCTCTTTTTATTAAAGCCGGAACCCTACACGCCTAACACTTCCCCAATTCCACAAACCCTAAGCCCTGGGCCATAAAGCCCAAGCCCAGCTTGATGGCCGACTCTGGGTCAGGTCAGGCGGGGTGCATGCGCAGCATGCATCAAAGTGGGATTGGCTAGCAGTTCTTCAGTGCATTGTGATGTGTGCAGTGTCACGGCTTGCTTTGAGTGTGCATGGGCTTGTGGCAGTGCAGAAGCTTGGGTCAGGGCTGGGCGTTTGCCCGCACTTACTCCGGTGCATGCTGGCAATTTTGGGGATCGAATCCTGAAAGAAGCAATCGCATGTTGTTTGGGTCTGTGGTTTTGCACGCGCAGTGTTGCTGAAATCATCGGTATTTACTGTGTTGTGCGCATTTAGACCGTTGAAAAAAGATAAGTACCGCCTTGCCCGTGCGTGCATTGGCCACAGCATCCATGGCCGAACGATGATTACGTCCGTGTTACCAGTGCGTGCGATTGGCCACAGCATCCATGGCCGAACGATGATTACGTCCGTGTTACCAGTGCGTGCGATTGGCCAGAGCATCCATGGCCGAACGATGGTTACGTCCGTGTTACCAGTGCGTGCGATTGGCCACAGCATCCATGGCCGAACGATGGTTACGTCCGTGTTACCAGTGCGTGCGATTGGCCACAGCATCCATGGCCGAACGATGATTACGTCCGTGTTACCAGTGCGTGCGATTGGCCACAGCATCCATGGCCGAACGATGATTACGTCCGTGTTGCCAGTGCGTGCGATTGGCCAAAGCACATTTCCCCAAACACACGCGGGCAAACGCCCGTCCCTTAGCCAGAAGCTTGCATCGCGCTTGCATGTTGAACCTATTCGCTGCATGTGCAGCCATAACCAGCTGCTCCAATGCTGTGAGCAGAAGAAATCCTGTTTCACATCAGGTGTGCTCCAAGTTTTCCTTTTTCCCGCCCTCCGCACCCACAGAAAACCTGGGTTGTGAGAGGGGGGTTGCGGTTTTTGTTGCGACTTTGTAACAGGGCCTGCTAATGTAGGGCCGTATGTTGCCTTGCATAGCTTCGCTCGGGCTGGACTGTCCGTCGTTGGCCCAGGACTTTCAATTTGATTCGCCTTTCTAAGGGGTCCTTGCATAGAGGATACTGGTAACTGGAAAACCCGGGGTTCCTTATGTTCTTATGAGAGCTCTGGAAAATCTCTGAGAATGGTTCTTCAACTATGGGGTCGTCAATGTATCCATCGACCAGAACGCCGAAGCACGATCGATAGTTCTAAGGTCTGACATACCTAATCATGTTCATTGGTATGGAAGAACGCCTGCACTGGACCCCTCAAACCCTCTAGACTCTGTGCGAAACCCCGAGCCCTAAGCCTTCAACCCTAAAACCAAAGTGCGACTGTCAATGCGGGACCTGGTGGTCTTGCGGCGCTCGATTTTCTAGAGGCCATTGTTGGAACACATACCTTGTGGGAGTTAGGGCATATGTAAGGGTTTAGGGCTAGGGGTTTCGGGCTTCCGGGCTTGGGAGCTGTAGTGTTTCGGGTCTAGGGAGAATGATGCTTCGGGCCTTGAGTTTGCAGGCGTTGGCATTTCCTCAACCCTGAGGCACCTAGGCCCTTAAATCGTAGCCTCAACCCCAAATAACCTACTTTTTTACGGACTTCTACCCTAAACCCTAAACCCTAAACGCGCCTAAAGAAGTAGGGTTGATTTGGGCCTAGGTAGCCTTGACCCGAATCCCTCAGCCTTCGGCCTTCACCCCTGCGGTCATCTGAGAAACATCAGCTCCCCAGCCCTTCAAAAGGGCAGGAAGGCCTTGAATGTCGAAGTAGCCGTCATGTGCACAGAACTATACAAACTGCGCATGCCTCTGTTAAGGAAAGAAGTGTACATGTATAGATTGGGATGCATATCATGAGTCATTACCATTCCTCTCGTGTGGTTGGTACCGAGAGCGAGACCGATGGATGGATGGATGGATGGATGGATGGCTGGATGGCTGGATGGCTGGATGGCTGGATGGCTGGCTAAGTGGCTGGATGGATGAACGAAAAATGGAACGATGGGAGGATGGATGGCTGGTTGGACAAAAAAGAGCACCCGCTGGTGCTTCATGTCCCTGCATCTCCGTATCGAAACATACTACGACTTCATCCCGGGGCCAGAGCCTTCGATCGTACATGCAGTCTCATTAGTCGAGAAAGCCAAAACCCTAAACCCTAAACCTTAGAGAACCCTGAAAGTCTCCCCTAAAAGTCCTTGTAGTAACACATTGACATCTAGCACCGATTCTACATGACACCGGCAAAGGTGCCGCTCGGACTCCGGCGACACTGCCGCCTTGTGAACGGGTTTGGGGGTGTTGAAGAGCTTTGCATGGTGCTCAAAACATTTCATGAGCCCTTAGGTCTCAGGGTTTGGGGTATGGATCTCCGCGGTCGCTGGGCAAATGGTGACGTTTTGGGGGGGGGGGGGGGGGGGGCGATTATGACAACGAATAGCGCCTCGGACCGAACACCACCTATCCACGGTGATTACGGTAAACCCTGATTATGGCCCTCCACCGCCCGGTCTTTCTGACACTGTTGTGGTGTGATGCCCACAACTAATAAGTACAGTCCTTATGGAAAAGAAGGGGTCTCTGATAAGCTTCAGGGTTTCGTCGGCTTCGGACTTACAGCTGCTGTAATTACAGCTTCCTGGAAGGCCCGGAATGAAGAAACACCACAGCCCATTCCTAAACATGAACAGACATCGAAGGATGGACACTAGACCCTGCAGTCGTCCTAAACCCTAAACCCTAAACCCCCAAAGCCCGAAGGTCCCTGATCAAGCCCCTGACAGGGTGTTCCACGACCCCCCTATTTGGGAGTTTCCGATAATTAGGGGTACCCTATTTCGGGGTCCTTATAATAAGGGTCCTATACTATTTAAAGTACCATATTAGGGTCCCCTATTTTCGGAAACTCCCATTTGGAAAAAAAAGCTAAGCTCTGTATTCCAGAGGCCTCCGGCCACATCAGCCGCTGTCCGGAGGGCATCACGAAACGCTTCTTAGCCTCCCAGCATAGAAGCCAAATCCCAAGGCTTGGGCTGTTTGTGCGCAATACGTTCTTCATGGGGTTTTGGATCTTGGGTCTTGGGTGTAGGGCAACTGGTGTTTTGCGTTCCGTATTCAGGAGTACCGGATACATGGCACTGATCCTGTGTGTATTTCCTGGTTGCTGCCTGCCGAAAAACCGGCGGCGATGGAAAGCAAAAGACTTGGGGACAATGTGTGATGTCCAGAACCGTTACCTGAAGGCTACCTCGAGAACCCAACGCCTGGAGAAAGAAGACCCCAATTTTAATCATATTAAACAATAAAACGTAAGAATCCTTTCCTGCGAGGGCATGGACTGGACATGTACCCTGAACCCTTTTCCCAAAGCCGTTTTGGGTTACTTCGGGAGCATGAAATTTCCAAGCATGTCTTCAAACCCACGAGGACATGATCGAAATGCAACTTAGGGCCCAAGGTGTAGGCAGTTTATAGTTTGCAGAACCCGAAACCCCTAACCCCTAAACCCTTAATTTGTTTTACACCTGGACCATGCATATGCAACTCCTAAACCCTAAACCCCTAGCCCCTAAACCCTATAACCCCGAACTCCTAAACCCTAACCCCTAAATCCTAAGAGGATGTTTAGGGTTTGAGGCTTTGTCCCGGCTCACAGCATTCGAGGCTCCCGGGCCTACATAACCCTAAGGGTCCATGTACCCATATAGAGATACATGAGCCCCAAAGTAACTACTACACTAAGGCCAATGTATATACTATATGAGTACACGGACCCTCAGGATAAGGCTTTTGGGAGCTAGGGCTTCGTTGCGTTCCGCGGGTGAGAAACCCGGAAAAGACGAGCTTCAAAGCACCGCACGACACCATTCTAGGCGTGTTTAGGGTTTACAGGGGCTTTACTGTAGGGTTTACGGGGCTTCCTCTGTCACTCTGCTTGCACCTTCTCGCTAGCACGGGACAGCATGGCGACCGGAAAGTGTCCGAGGATTCTATCCTGGGCTCTCTTTGTGTCGTAGTTCAGGGTTTCGGTGTCTCGCGTCGAAAACGGGCTGATAGTGACCTGTTACCTGTCTTCATTCAAAACTGCAGCCTTACATTCCAAAAACAGAACACGACGAAGAAGCCATCGGGACAGAAAGCTCAATCCGAGGAAGTCTAAAGCTTAGACCCTGAGTGTTTATCACCTCGAGGTTCGGGGGCTGTTTTTCCTTAAGAAGCACCTATACTGAACTTAGAGCCGTAGCAAAAGTTATAATTTTAGCTGTTTCTTGGGGATTATAATAACCAAAAATGTAAGAATTATTTCTAAGTACCCCTAAGTTTCCTTAAGAAGCACGGCTTCCGGCGAGGCGCACGGGTTTCGGGTTTCGACGCTCGCCAGACGAGGTCTCCGAGTGTGCAGTCGGACAAGAAGCTGCGTGGGAAAGACTCATGTGGGTGGCTGTCAAAATTGCGGTCCCTTTTGGGGCACCCTAAATAATGGATGCCGTATTATAATAGGGACCCAAAAAAGGACCATAATTTTGACAACCACCCATGTGAAGGCAAGGTTTCTATACTGAACCTAGAACCCGAGCAAAACATATAATTTTAGATGCTTCTTAGGGATTCTAGTAACCAAAAATGTAAGAATTATTTCTAAGTACCCCTAAGATTTAGGGTTGACCTCGGGATCCAAAACCTTCTGTTTTAAGGGTTATACCCTCCAATTAACGGGTCATCACCTGAAGGGAACTCCAGAAAGTTGGAATATGGTTTCAGGGTAGGATTAAAGGGTTTAGGATAATCATATTCCAACTTTCTGGCTTTTACTTTACTATTTTGTAGGGTTTGGGGATACAGGTAGGGTTTAGGGCTTCGGGGACCGTTCTGCAATGCGAAATCTCCAAGAAAGCTGGCCAGTCTGGGGCAGACATCGCTTCCACAAGCCAGCACATGGGAGTTTCCGAAAATAGGGACCCTAGTGTAGCACCCTAAATAGTAGGATCCTGATTATAAGGAGCCCAAAATAAAGTACCCCTAAGATGCGGAAACTCCCATATCGGAGATCAGGGTGCCGATCCAACCAGAAGCCAAAGCAACAAACCCAACACAGCACGCTTTATGACTTTATCATCCCAGGGTCATCCCATCTGGCGAGCAAACCCACCGACGAGGGGTTTGTGTTTAAGGTTTTGGGGTTGAGGCACAACAGGCAAGAGCTTAAAGCAAGCACCCGGCCCTAAACCCGCAAACCCCGAAAGCTCCAAATCTTAGACAAGTTCAGGCCCCGAGCCACGCACCCAACAACAGCCTGCAAAAACCTGAAGCACCAGCCGGTTTTGGGTTCAGGGGCATACATCTTAACCTCGATAAGCCCCAAAAGACCTGCTGAACTTAAATCGGTAACCTGTGTAAGCCCTCAACTCCTTTCTGCTACTGGACTCAAGTCTAGCCAGTCTACGACCTGCAATCATCTTGACCGAGGCCGACTACATGCTAAACCCGATGCCCTAAACCCTGGGGCCTTAAACCCTGAACTCCGTAAACCCAACATTATAATATAGCCCTCATCCCGTTTAACTCCAAGGGGCGATCATACCTAAGTGCTCCATGCTGGCGTGCGTGTCGAAGAGCACCTAAGACGTCAGGTCTTCATCGGATCTCTGGGCTTGGTTCTGGCTTTAGGGCTTCAAGGTGTTGGGGCTTCTTGCTGGGTTTTAAGGCATGAGGTTTCAGGGCCTCGGATTCTGAGGCTTCAGGCTCCCAGGGCTTTGGGTTTTAGGGCTCTAGGGGTTGTAGATAACCCTGAACCCCCAAACCCTAAGCCCCTAAACCCTAAACCCCCAAACCCTAAACCCTTCTATGCGGCTGTGTTGGGTTCCAAAGTGACTCTACAGAGGGATCTCTGAGGGCTGCACAAGCTTCGAAGGTGTGAGGCAGGGGCGTCTTATGAAGGCCTCAAGCTCTGTCATTATGGTAGACAAGAGAGCAGGTGGGGGTGTGAGGCTTTTCGCGATGTGGCTTCCCAAAAAACGGGGGCCAACGGCTGCTGTCATAGCAAACTCAGCTTCGTAGCCGTAGCCTGTAGCAGGGGATGTGGTACACGATGCGAACTCGAAGAGTTGATGAAGCGAGTTTCGACAAGAACTTGGACGACGGCTTAGGGGTTTAGGAAAGAAGGAAGCCGTTTGATTGACAACCCTGTAGAACCCTCGCTGGAAAGTCCTAAACCCTAAGCCCTAGACACTAGACCCTAAACCCTAGACCCTAAACCCTTACACCCCTAAACCGTGGCTCTCCGATCAGAGGCCCAACTCAGGACACCCAAGCGGAATAATGTAGCAGCCTCAACAGTTTTAATAGGGTTCTGTAAATGGGGGTCTGTAAGGGCTTTTATAAGGATGTAATGTAGGGGCCTTCATAATTAATTAGAATAGGGTCTTGGGGGTTCCTTGTTAGGTTTATAGTACAGTGTACCCCCCAAACCCTGCTCTATTTACTAAGGCCCCTACACTAGCCCAACTTCATCATGCTTTCGCCACTATCGTTGCCGTTCCTCGGAATGCGATTAAGACAATGAGTGCTACAACATATGTGTGGCAAGCCTGAACAATTGTTATCTTTCGCATTGCTAACTCAGCCCCTCTGCATTCACAGGCGCATTGCCAGTGTAGAGCTCAAAGAGGATGCAGCCTAAACTCCAGATGTCCGCTTTTTCGCTCCAGCCAATCTGTAGAATCCTCGAAGCTTGTCTTGGGGCATGCCACAGAGGACGCTGATCCACATTCGGCTTCTTTTTCTGAGCACTTCTTCATCACCGTGAAGGGTTTGAGGTCGCCACGTAATCAAAACAAATTCAGAAAATGAAAGACCCACTGCAAGCACTGCTTACAGAGTACATAGCAGTCGAAAGGGACCCAAAACCATGAAAGCCCAAAACGAGCCAAGCATCACTTCCGGAGAGCGATATTGCCGCGTCTGAATGATGCTGGAATGGTGCATATCTACCTGACATCAATTACTATAGGGGCAAAGAATTTGAATAGGATCTCGGGGACCATTACACTATGATTAGTAAAAGGAACCCCCCCCCGAAACAGTGTAGGTACTTATTAAGGCTCCTATAATACTCTCCGCTCTTGTGTGGGAGTCGGGTTGGAAGTTGTCGGTTTTTACCCGTTTTGCCACTGGACTCAAGCCTAGCCAGTCTACGGTCTGTACCCTGAAAACCATAATTACTGGAAACTCTAAAGCCCTCAGCCCTATTAAAAGGCCAAAGCCCTAAACTCCAAAAGTCCCGGCCAAACACAAAGTCAACCCCAGAGAAGCATCCTAAAGCCTAGGTGCCCAAGCAACGACTTCGACTTAAACTGGGTTCATGCTAAGGGATTTGTCATAGGTTGCGTTGATAGGGATCTATGGTAAATTATATGGCTTCCTTAATATGGGAGATTAGAGCAAGCCCCTTAACAAGAACCCAGCAAACCTACACCATCCTTCTAGCTTTAAACCCTAAGCTCTAAACCCTAATCCCTAAATAGCAGATGCCTGGGCCCTTTTTGGTGGAAGAAGACCTTCAGAGCTGCTACTGTCGCAGACTGTGAGGCGCTAGTCGTGGTGATTTCAGGGAGACAAACAGCAAGACTCTGGTTTTGACATGTTATAAGATGATATAACTATGATGTTTTAATACAGTAAAAAAAAATAATAGCAGCTGGTATTTTTCAAAGTAGTCGGACACCATTCGGGGAGGTAAGTCTGATGCAGTAAACTCCGATGGCACGGGCTACTTCTCTTGACCGTCATGCGTACTGAAACCCGGTTCATCAGTCCCCTACAGCCCCTACACCCAGAACCCTCGATATCGGGGCACATAAGTGGCGTTCCCAAAGTCGATCAGCTTGATAGAATTGCTGGCCGGTCGAGCATAGGGAAGATTCCGATACCTGCCCGACATGTTCAGGTTCGCGGCATAGTTTCAGGGCCTTACTGCTTGCAATAAGATTTTGTGGGCTAGATTGCATTGTATGGCACACACACACACATATATATATATATATATATATAAACTCTGGAGTACAAGGAGAACATATCTTGAATATAACAGTATGACTATATTGACTATATAAAAAAACTGCAAACTGTAGACCTGCTGACTTCATGTTTCAGACCGGCACAGTAGGGGTTCCGGCAAACAGAGCTCGACACTGTCAGAGACGTTCCCAGGGGTTTAGGGTTTTAGGGCAAGAACTAACCTATCTACGTCCAAACACTGCACCTACGTCTAGAAAGCCTCCACAGTAACAAACTCCGCCAGTCCCGTACCCAAAGCCCGCAACCCCAAACACCAGACCCTAAATCCCAAGACCAGAAGATGCCTGTCTGAGGGAGGTTGGAACTCAGAGCGTGGGAAGAACGACACGCGTGCAACCTGGCTTGGAGGACTAGTAGGGTTTATGGTTTGAGCTTTAAGGTTCAGGGCTTGGGGTGTGGTGTTTTGGCATGACCTCTGTCTGTGGCGAAAAGGATTGTAGTTCATGGTTCATGGGTTGAGGATTCGGTCTTGAAGGGTTATGCCGGTCACGCGTTCGGTTGCAGGGTTCAGGGTTTAGGTTTTAGGGGTTTAGGGTTAAGGGTTTAGGGCTTAGGGGTTTAGGGGTTTAGGGTTTAGGGTTTTGTTCAGCGAGGTCGTCGGGCGTGCGTGACAGGTTCGCTCACACTCAAAAATGCAGGCTTTTCATGTACGCGCGGAGTGTCTTAGGATGTTAGCAAACCCAGACATGGGAGTTGCGGGGTCTCGACATCTACTACCTTCTTCTAACAGACAGGCTACAACAAAACCCATCAAAGGCTCCTGTTTAGCTGAAAGCAAGCCCAAACTCAACTTGTCAGATCAGCCCATGTGTTCAATTTGTATAAATCTTGGGTATAAATCTTGGCCTTACAAAAAGGATCCTTTTGTTCGGTGCTTCAAGGCGGGAACCGTTTCTTTGGAACAAAAAACCCATAGGGCCTGAAGGGGGGATCCTCTTTGTAGAGAACTCTGGGGTCTTCTTAAACCCTATAGAACCCTAAACCCTAACTGTCGGGGGATTACGGCCTTCGGAGGGCCTCTTTCAAGTTCACCTCAGGGAGTTGTTGCTGGGATGTGGCAGGGTGTGTAAAAGTGCGTTTCCAAAGTATACGTATGTATGTATGTATATATATATATATATCGGTGTGTATATATATATATATATATATCGATATAGGTATGTGTATATATATAGAGAGAGAGATACGCACATATGCATTATATTCATATTTATAAACATATACATATGTACACATGTGTATATAAGTATGTATGTACGTACATGTGTATGGATATGAAAGGGTATGATGCATGGATTACATGTCTGGGTGTTGATAAGGCTCTACTGGTGGTTTACTGGGATTTGTTCCTTAAGCTATCCTAGCCTAGGCTTTGTAGGAGCCCTATGACAGGGACCCTGCACAAAGTGGCTTGAGGTGAAAGCCAAATTCCCGACGACGCCAGAGGTGGCATACGTGCAGCCCCCAAACCAAAGCACCCGGCTCAAAGCTTTAACTGCAAGGGCTTAGGGGTGTTTGGGTTTAGTGTTCAGGGTTTAGAACTTTCGCACTCGAAACTCCATGTCCTCCAACCTGTCAACCAGAAACAGAACCGCACAGAAAAGTCCCCCACCCCGGGAATCACTACACGACTGGCCGAGAATGACGAAGTCTCCTTGTCAAGCGACCTCCCGACTTTGCAGAAGGATGTTCTCAGGCTTCAAATCCTTGGGCACTGCGTCTGAAAGCATTTTGACAGTCCCAGCATCTTTCTGATTCCGATTCTATCCCTTGAGGGCTTGAATAAGTATCGAGGCGTATGAAGGCGTCGGCGTGCCTTTCTGACTCGTGCCCACAGACTTGGCGAGGCCTTTTTGTCTAGTTAGGATGGTTTAAGAATTCCCCAGTGCGGTATGTCTAGGTGCAGCAGGTCTGACAGTTTAACTATGTTAAACATGCTGGCTGTTAGCTGATCGCCTGTGTTGAAGCTGTGGCACACCTCTCTTAGGAAACCTATACCTGGAGCGACTTTGAATGGAACTCGCGGCCCTGAGCGCTTAGCCCTTAGAGCATAGGCGGCGGGTCGCCAGGGTGCGAACTGTTCCAAACGACAACACAAACTCGCTATCCCAAGGCATCAGCCAATCATTAATATTGAAACCGCATGCACCAAAACCCTGAAAGGTGTCGTGCAAAGGTTTTGCCAGGGATCCGTGTGCGTCAGACTCAGATCATGCAAGAACTTCAGGGCCTGGCAGGGAGAAGCAAAGGGGTCGCTTGGGTTGCGGGGAGGTGCATCAAACCCCAAACTGACCCCTCAACCCGATAAACCTTAGGTACGGCCCCCATACAGTAAGAGTCTATAATAGGGTTACTACTAAGGTCCTACTATATCTATATTATGAATATTATTCAACTATTACTGAGTGGGGGCCGTACCCAAGATAAACCCTAAACTATTTATAGAGCCTAAGCCACGACCTACACCATAAACCCGAAGCACTGAACGGAGTTTCGGCAGAATGGCCAAGCTCAGCTTGTGGAGGACCTTTTTGAGTCCACGATTCGCGGAGTGCATAAACTGTAGCTCCCTAAGAGCCCAGCTACAGTGCAATCACTGTACAAGAAATAGTTGGATAAGAAACGTAGGGGCTACGTCAACCGGATAGCACCAAAAAGCCCAAAATTCAAAACGCCTTCTAACTAAGAAATGAAGGGTACCCAACGTTTTAGGGTCATTTCTTATTTGGCTGGGCGGTTAATTTCTTGATTCGGGTGTTCTCAAGCCTCGAAAACCCGTTTGGGGGTTTTCCAAGAGCCAACAAGAAACGTAGGGGGCTACATTTCTTATTTTGGGTGGTTTCCAAGGCTTAAGCTTAGGGCACACGACAGGAGCCAAAATAAGAAATGTAGGGGGCTACATTTCTTGCTTTGGGTGGCTCCCAAGGCTTAAGCTTAGGGCACACGACAGGAGCCAAAATAAGAAACGTAGGGGGCTACATTTCTTATTTTGGGTGGTTTCCAAAGCTTAAGCTTAGACAACACAACAGGAGCCAAAATAAGAAACGTAGGGGGCTACATTTCTTATTTTACATGTTTCCACGTAGGGGGCTACATTTCTTATTTTGGGTGGTTTCCAACGCTTAAGCTTAGGGCACACGACAGGAGCCAAAATAAGAAACGTAGGGGGCTACATTTCTTATTTTGGGTGGTTTCCAAGGCTTAAGTTTAGGGCACAGCGCAGGAGCCAAAATACGAAACGTAGGGGGCTACATGGGTTATTTTGGGTAATGCTGCCTTAGTGGTGTCTGTCTAGGCTAATGGCAAAGGCATTGGCTTAGTAGAGTGCAGCTGAACTACCATGGGCTCGAGCCCCGACTAAGAAATGAACAAGAAACGAAGGGTACCCAACGATGCAGAAGTTGGGAAATGTGGAAATATGAATGTAACAGGAAGCTAAGAAATGAAGGGTACGCAAGGCTGGAAGCTGGCATTTCTTATCCAGTAGATGCACTGTATCTGTTTAATGGTTACCGGGCTTTGGGCACGAAAAAACCTAGGTTCATACAGGGTTTAAGTATTAAGGAGCAGTAACTATGTAGTAGGTCATCGGGTTTTGGGGTACTAACAATGTAGGTTCATATATAAAGTGCTCTATACTCTCCTTAGAACCAAATAAAACAACTTTAATTATATATTGGGCTTTGTATGAACAGAAACCAATAATACTTTCTAAGGAGACTAGAGCATTAAGGAGCAGTAACCCACTCGCCAGCTGGGCTCCTAGGAGCTCATCACGAGGATGACGGACATCGGCAAATTCTCTCGGCCCAAGGGGACCACCATTCGAGCAAGTGGCGTACATGTACTCTAGGGGCCTTAATAATTAGAATACGGTTCCTTTGAAGGGTTCCTCTAAGGGATACTATAAGGGTACTATACTATAAGGGATTTAGAGATATAGGGGCCGTAATAATTAGGATATGGTTTTGGGGTAAATTATACCATAGTTACAATAAGGAACCCCTATAATAGTATGGGCAATTATTTAGGCCCCTATATTACAGAAGCCGCTTTGGGCCAAAACCTTAAAGTCCACGTCTCCGCTGTAGAGAAGTGGACTGAAGATGAGGTGATAGCACCTCACAAACTTCTACAAGCTTTCCATTTAGCAATGCTTACAATACGCCTCAATCGGCGTAGAGGTCGCCCCGCCGCCCGACGTCTGGCCATGCTAGCTCGCGGCCAAAGCTTAGGGAAAGATGCCGGCCTAAATCTGCAACGGTCGGCACCTCCGATTGGGACAGAGTCGGAATTCGCGTCGTTAGGGCGTGACTCTGCCATGTTCTCCACAACATCACAGGGCTCCCCAAGGTCCTCCTCCATCCTGCACTCTGCAACCATAGGCTCGCCAACATCCTCCTCGGCCGCCTCAGGCGCAGCTGGAACTGTGGCTGTCGCCTCCGGTGCCAAGAGAGAGGGGATCTGGGGCTCGGGAGTGAGAGCGGAAGCTGCCCCCGAGACGGCCTCGCAAATCTCGGCTGAAAGGCTGTACACTCGGCCTCAGTTAGTTGCAGTTTCAAGAGCTAGAGGGGTATAAGATTCTCCCAAAGAGTGGAAACATGTACTGATTCAGTTACTAAGTGTCCAAGCAGGGCAGTTGCACAAAGAGCCAGGGGCACGAAGAAGCCCAGTCTTACAAGCGGGTGGAAGGCCGCGCCGGCGACCTTCGTCAGAGCTTGCAGGGATTCCGCGCGGCCCTGCACAGTCTCGAGCGACAGCAGCAGCTTTTCGGCTGCTTCGTGGTTTCCCATGGCCGACAGTGGCTTCGTTGAGGACACGGCTAGCGAGGTGCTGTGCTCGACGACAGACTGTGCCAAAGTCCGCAGCTCCAGTGAGTTCACACTTTGAAGCAGAAGATCTAAGGCCTTGAAGGTTGCACTGAGGAAGTTGTGATGTCTGTGCCTCCTATGCTGATTCCTTGACTTGTAGATCATTCGGCCCAAAACCGTCTGCTCATCGGCCAGCGCCTCGCAAGCAGCCGGCAAACGTGTCTCGCAAGTCACGACCAGCCGACGCAGTGGCACAGATGCCATGTCGGATGCCATGGCTCGGAAGTCTCTCGGCTTAAGGCTTGAAGCTCTCATGACTCTATTCTCCACGTCAAACAAAGTTCTGGGAAGCTCCCAGGGACCCTCTGTCATGGCTCTAAGCTCAGCCCTCGCAACCTACTCCTTGAGCTTTGCACGCCGGGCGCCATTGCAGCTTGCTTGTCTCTGGGTGAAGATTATGCTTAGGGTTCCTTAATAAAAATGTAGTATAATAGACCCCCAAAAGCCTATATTCGAATGGTTAAGGCTCCTATATTAACAATTAACATAGCTTAGGGTTGCCTGCCAGGGCTTCCAAGGTTAAGGGCATAGTGAATAGAGTGATATACATACTCGTTTGCGACTCTTGTGGCTTTTGGTTGCTTGGGAGATCCTGCCCAAGCTTCTAGGCTCAAGGAGCGAGAGAGACAGAGAGAGAGAGAGAAAGCGAGAAAAAACGGAAGGCTTTCAGGGCGTACTATTACCAGTTGTTTAGGCTGATACATTAGGAGACGGGCTTGGGCATTCAGAGAGAGGCAACACCACAGTGTATCACACCCTCAGGCACAAGTAACATTTCCGATATTTCAGCTGTGCGACCTTCTTACCGGCATGAAATATCGACTGTCTCAAGAACAACCGTTTCGCAGCTTGCCTTTATCCCAGGAAATCACCAAAAAAACAGATGGACGATCCTGCAGCAAAGCACACGAATTACGCTTTCGGCTGTCAGGTCCTTGTACCTTCCTTAACTTTAGTACATCTTGCGTACGAGGACCGTGTGCTCAACTACCCAACAATATGTATTTTTCTACTAGCATAGTGTACAGGGGGAGGGTCTCGTGAACGAACGGGAAGTGGGCTCTCTGGGTGAGTACTCCCAGGCAAAGCCAGTGGCCTTGAGGCTTTGTTTCGCAAAGTTCTGGATGTCGTGAAGCCAGAACCCACGGAAACCATTCCACTTCCTGAAGCCCGCGAAATGCTATTGCTGTTTGGGATTTAGGATTTACACACTCGCAGATATCACAGCTAATCCAGTCGGTATTGCTATGGGTTCAGGGCGGGTTGAGGTTTGAAGTGATACAGCTTTTGGCTGTTGGCCTCAGGGCTAGGGCTTCGGTATCAGGCTTGCCGCGGTTCAGGTTCTAGGGATTCCTAGGGCCTTGCATAATCCAACAGACGCGTCGGAAATTTCGCATGGTATACCTTACGGTGTCTGACGTAATTGAAGTACCATATACCCCAAAACCCAATCAAGTAGGACCCTATTTCCCAAGTTTTACTGAGACTGCGGGAGGGTCTCAGGGGTCAGCTGGGAATCACTGCGAAATTGATGCATCTTCATGAAACTGTTGAGTCCGAGGCTCAAGAAATCGTACAACGAATCGCCCAGCAGCTCACAAACCATGACGAAGTAGGCATTTTGATGTAGGAAGGTGTCAGACATCATCACACCTCGGCTGCACAAAGCAAGCATGCATAACGAAGTCCGGCACAAGGCATCCAGAATGGTGCGGTATGTCCAACGGCCTCTGAAGCTATCGAAAGACGGTACGCACCTCAACAAACAGGCTGAAATCGTACTTTCTTCCCCAGGATGATCATGAGAGTGCAGACGAAAGCCCAACACTTTAACCAAACGATGGTTCGAAGTGCGTAATTAGGGGGAGACTTGCGAGCATGTTCGGGTTCGGATGCAGAGCATTCTAGAACACGAAAGCCTCAGTGCAGCTGCTTGCACAATATGACGTCCGATTCGGATCCGCCTCACGTATGTCCTCAGCAGGGCATCCCACATGCAGCATTTTGTTGGTGTGGGGGGGCAAGTATTCCCCTCCTTTGCGGTAGAATAGCGGTCAATGTATCATTTCTCTGTGATGTGCTTGAGCACCATATTGGAAGTCCTTTTTGACCGAAGTTGAGGCTGCTTATGCCTGGGTACCTAACTCCCGAACTCACACAGCTCAAACTGTCTCAGGTCTCAGGGCGATGCACACATCCGAAATTCATCTCGACAAGCAAGCTCTGGAACATAATTCTGGGGCATTGTACACTTTCGTAGAATATAGTCTTAGCAAAGCTACCATTGGAGCGATGGAAGCAAATTACACACAAGCTCTGGTATCCCATGTCCAACCACCGGCAATCCATCACATCCCAGGTCGGAAAAACGGACCAGTCAAAACGCCTGCAGAGACCATCACACACCCATTGCACCCATCGAAGGTCCGTCATTCTCAAATTCGCAAAGCCCGCTTCAGGGGTATTTCTGTGGCACGAGTTGTATTGTTTGCTTGTCGCACTGCAGCCAGTCATTGTTGACTTGTGACGTACGAACTGTCCAGCAGATACTGCTTGAAAGAAGACTCCAACCTTTTGCAAGCCCTCTTCAAGCTCAAGGCGCATATCGCCTCAAACACTCTAAGGCCCTGAGCTTTGTTCAAAGCTCGAACGGTCATACCCCGAAGCCTTTAACCAAGGTTTTCGAAAGATTAACCGACCATCGAGTCCGGAAGAAAAGAAGGCTCCCATTATCAAAAATGAAGGCTTTGGGCTGTTACTGTTCGGGTTTACACCCAGCCCTAAACCTAAAGCCCCAAAGCACTGCACCCTGAGCCCGAAGACCCCAGACCCCAATCCGATCTCACCCGGAAATCCACAAAAAGGGGGCCTCCAAGATCTTAGCCTCGATCATGGCATTCTCTCGATACCTCTCCACATCCTGGGTTGGGTTCGGATTGCAAGGTTTAAAGCTTCCGGGGCTCGGGGGTTGTAGGGTTTGATTCTAATATCTTCTAAGGTCTATATAGGGTTCAAACCCTAACTCAGAAGGAACCCGGAAGCCTAAAGCCTCAACTCGAAACCCTCTGAAAGTTAAGGTGTCTTCCTTGCTGACAGCAGGGAAGACTTCAGATCCCTTTACGTTTATGATAAGAACAGGGCCTTGTGGTGCGTACTATAGCCCATTTATATTACGCAAAAAGTTACATCGGGACTTTCAGCACACATGTGCTTTGAATATGAGCATTGACTGTATTCCCAACTCCGAACCATACAGTAGGGATTCCGGTTTGGGACTTGGGGGTTCCGCTTCCCCTCTATGGTTTTGGATTTAGGTTTGAGGTAATAGGCAGCTTACGGGGGGTTTGACGGTTTGGGGGCCAGGGGTGATGGAACTTCTGCACATCTAAGTGATTCTAAGGCCTATAATCCTCTTGCAAAGCTTGGGGCCGTAAATCAATGTGGTGCCTCTCGGGATCTACTGGAGGGACCCTAACTGTTTCGGGATAAGATAAACCCGACGCCGAAAAGGCTTGGATGATACCGGTTTCGGCGAGATGTTTCTCCGAAAGCCTGAACCCTGAATGTTTTGGGTTTCGGCGCTCACACTCGGACAAACCAGGCGAGGCATATGTTTTGGGTTTAGGGTTGAGGGTTTGGGTTGTGACACTGAGGTGTCTAGAACATGCTGAGAAAGGAGGGGTCAAATGCTCTCAATCCGGGTCGCTTGTAGCTTGTGTGGTCCAAACTTATCCAAACAAGGATTTGGGTTTTTAGACGACCCATATGCTATCTACTTCAAGCAGAACGGCTCTGCTAGTTTTCAGAGTAAGACAGCACGGAACCAGCGCTTCGAAGCTGATGCAGGACAAGCCGCACGAATCACTTTGAGAGATACATCGGAGTCATCCTGCAGCGGGTTTTGTCTGTTAGAATTGGCAGTCGGCTCCTAAGCAACAAGTCCAGAGTGCAGGGAACGGCGCGCACTCCTGCCCATATACACTCAAAACGATTTGCCTCTGCGAGCCTGAAGCGGTAAGCCCCAAACCTGAAAGACCTCCTACCCGAACCACTCAAGGGGTCATGCCTTCATGTCCGTCGCCCGCAGCACACGGCCAAAAGCTCCGTCACCAAGAAGGTCTTCCTGCTGAGTGGCGGGCCAGGGCTTTCACAGTCTAGCGTGACAGGGGCTCACTCGGACGTACCAGGTCACAGGGTTAGAGCTCTCAGTCTTCAGAGTTTTCGACCTTAGGCCGACGAAACCACAGGGATTAGGGATGGACTAGGGCTTCTTCTTCCTGAACAGGATTGTCTCCAGGCTACATGAACTCCTCGCCTTTATCGACATGTGTGTGTGTGTGTGTGTGTATGAAGTGCCTCTGATTATGTGGGCTCAGGGCTCTTGCTGTGAACCTATATGACAACACTCATTTAAACCTACAAGTACCGTGGTCTCTGCTTACCCCTAAACCGTAAACCCGAAACCCTGAACCTGGCCTATGCTTGCGTGCCCCTTCTCATGAATTTTGCGACAGACAGAGGCGGCGGTATAATCAGCGGCTTGGAGTTTGGAGATCCTGAAAGCCCCAAGCCCCCCCGACCCCCCTGTACCACAAAGGGTCTATGGGCTACGGGTGAAAGCTCTTTGGCATACCACTGCTATGACTACACAGGGACATGCTAGAAATGACTTGGCTCCCAGAGATATGAGAAACAGGCCTGGAGAAGTCCATCGTCGCTCTAGCTAGGGCCCCCCAGCCAACCACTGCCCCGCCTGCAAAAAAAACACACACACACACACACAGAGACGAACAAAGACCCACAGACAGACACACAGACAAACACTGGAAATTCGAAACCCCTCAGTCCATCTACACCTGCTCAAACCTCCTGAAGTTTTGGGGCTCAGTGAGATGGAGGGTTGAGGATCTCCTCTGGATGAGAAGTGCCGCGGGATTTGCAGGGCGTAAAATTTAAAAGCTTTTCGAAATTTGGGACCTTGGTGCAGCGAAGTTGCGACACGGTACCGGCTGTCCTCAGCTTAAGCGATGAGGTTTGGCTTTAGGATTTCAAGCTTCAATCGCTGCATGGACCTGCGAAGATCAAGGCTAGACCTACTCATCTGAGGCGCTCTAAACTTCAGGAATACTATATACTCTAATATACTATATACTATATACTCTATACTAGATACCATGTACCATATACTATAGTATTTTCAAGAGCAGAGAATGTTTCCTTATCGGAGACTGCAGCGATAGTTGGCACCGGCGGTATTAGGATGCATCTGAGTCATCTGAGCGGCCAGCACCTGCCCCTGCTGCCAAGCGAAGTGGACGATGTCGTCATCCGAGTCCGCCTGAACCAGGTGTAGCTAGCAGTGAAACATCGGAACTCAGATTCAACGCTCGAGCTCTTCACCCTAAACCTCAAACCCCGGGCATAGGGATTCGTTGTACACTTCTGGACACTTCCGGAGATCGAAGGGCGGGAGATATTACTCAGCTACCAGATGCGTGCTTCAACTGGGACCCATTTGTTTGGCTGTAGAGCGTAAACCCGGATCGTAAAAACCATATTAAGTTGAATCTGGGCTCATCCTCTACCCTAAACCCCCAGAGAGGCCTAGGCATGCTAACTACACCGTTTCCAGCCGGGCATTTATGTATGTTGGGATTTGCACAGCATAGCCCGGAACAACCATGTGGATCGCAGAAACAGCCAAGGTGTTATGTCTATTCTACTGACAAACACGCAGCACCCCACAACACCCCCCAAACGCACCCGAAAACACAGTACCGAAACCACCTCCGCATCCGCCCTAAAAACTCATGCAAAGCATCGAAACCTCCAAAATGCTCCCTGCCCCCCTCCTCAGACAGAAAAGGAGCAAGAGACCTGTGCATCCTCTTGCGGTTTCTGCTCCTCGGCATCGGCGGCTCCATGTGGAGTGCGGCTCCGATCCGACATCGGCACTCGGGGGCAAAAGACCCAGGTTCGCGGTCGGGACGTCGTCGGGTTCTAGGGTTTTCGGCAGAAAAGACGGTGGCGAAATAATCACGCAAATTCTCACAGGACTTCATTGGGGGTTGGACTTCATTGGGGGTTATTCCACACCCCTCGTTATTAAATCCTTAAACCCTGATAACCCCTAAACTTCCTACCTACTCAATCAAAACTTTTGGTTTAATGGAAACTGTTCATGATTGTGGGATTCGTTGGCATCCCTTCGTGATGCCGTGATGTTTAAGGGTTGAGGGATTTCAAGTTGGGGGTGGAGGGTCCTGGCAGGTAGCGGCTGGATTTTGCTGCGATGTTCATGGTTCGTGATCCACGTAGCTGCGGCCAGCGCGTTGTTCGGCCAAAGAGGTTCTGTATCAAGACAAGCAGTCAAATTGTTAACTTGTCGCGAGCCAGTGCAATCGCCTAACCCCCGACAAAGCACAAAAGAAAGTGATTGTCTTCCCCGAGTTTGAGCACTTATACGGACTGAAATGGGCTGGTGCAGGATTTGTGCTTCGTAGGACATAACTTAGATGTCGACTGGTTCTCGAAGACGGCATGGCCTTGATTAAGAGGGCCAGCTCTGTAGTGGGATTAAGGCGATGGTAGCTGACAATATGCGAGCGTGACTACCCTCCCTAAGAAAGCCACGGTACCACCACTGCTACTCACGGTCACCACTGCTACTCACTACGATGATAAAACACACACTCTAAGACGACAAGCGTTGAAGGCCCGATGAACAACCCGATAAGGCAACATACTCATGTGATCGATCAGGATCACGTAAACCTGAACTCTAGACGGCTCGACATGGCTCGACCCTACCCCCCAGTTTCATGTATGTCCGTCCCTTAGTCCCAATGCGCCGTCTGCCAAACTAACCCCAAACCTCGAGGAATTCTAGCCCGCCCTTGGCCGGAACTCACGGTTTACTTGGAGGCTCATGGGACTTAGCAAGTAAGGTTATAAGTAGGTTATACTTCGGATAACCCCACTTAGGGGACTTGTAACCCCACATATAACCTACTTACTAAGTCCCACGATCCTCCAAGTAGGGGCTCCGAAGATGAAGGTTCCTAAGGCCGCCCTAAACCCTAAACCTACCTGGACCCTAAGGAACCTACCTTTTTAGGGTTCCCTAATATGATGTCTTTATATAAGTCCTTAAACGGTAGGTTACTTGGGGTTAAGGTACACCTTAAACCGGCACATAACGTAACCTTAAGGTCTAGAGTACAGTTTTAGGGCTGGCGCTCTTGGGGCTTTTGGGCTTGTAGTAAGCTTTTAAATTAGGGCTTGGTTTAGGACTGAAAGTTTCTGCATCCTAAACCCTGAACCACAAAAGGCAACATACTTACTACGGTTGATGATAAAAAAACTGCATTACCTATAACACGGAATATAATCGGAATATACCATAACTCCCATGTTGAACCCAGGCTCTATTCCACCATAATTCCCATCGGGTCATTAAGGTAATGCAGGATTTATGTCATCAGCCGTACAACTGCGCCCAACCCCAAAACATCGGCCGCGCACCTCAGCAGGCTGCTCCTCCGAGGTTCGGGAGGGCTGGTGCGACTTTGTGCTCAGGGCTCAAGATTACCAGGACCCCCTAACGGCCCTTTCATAGAGTCCTTATATGGCCCTTAATAGCGGATGTCTGGGGTATGTTAGAAGGTAGTTGGGGGGTTTAGGGTAGGGTTTTGCGTTTGGGATTCGGGGTTAAGACCTAGGACATCGCAGGCTATGTTTGGGGTCTTTGGGACCCTACTTGGGGGGCTGCGAATTGAGAAACCTATACTACTTACTGATGTCGATACCGTACGCCCAAATCTGAAGACGAGCAGGCTTCCCCCGAAGCCGGTGTCATGCTGTCGTCAAACGACTTTTGGTTTCCCAAGGTGCTGTGCCGCTATGCCTCCCACGAATACGGCTTCAGGACTTCGGCAACGAAACCCAAGGAACCCAAAACCCTGAACATTGATTGACTTACCTTTGGTTAGTAGGGAATGGAAGAATGGTAGTAATAGTAGTTATAATTGTACCCCATTCCTCCATTCCCTACTAACCAAAGGTAAGTTGAAGGAGTAGTCGCAGACTATGTCGGGCTACTTGTGCAGACATGTTCCTTCATCAACAGGCATGGGCTTCCTAGGGCTTGCGATAAACCTTAATCTCTAGGGTCCCTAAACCTCTACACTCTAAACCCTACACACACCTTAGACCTTCTTCGCCACATGCAGCCTGCAGCCATTGAGATGCAATCGTGAGTTGAGGAAGCGCACGGGCTCATGAGGTCCGTCAGGGCTTAGGGTTTGGGGGGGGGGGGGGGGGTACCTGTCTCACATCGACGCCATCATGTCTTAAGTAAACTTTATTCAGTCTAATGTAGTGCAGTACACTAAAGACAAGCAACATGATACATCACAGGTTGTAATGTAAAATGGTACAGCGAAGGTATTATGTTCTCACACAGCGGAAGATGATACAGTGTAATACTGTATGCAACAGCATACAGCAATGTTATTGTACACTTACATATGCGTAGTGTAGTTTGCTATATTACATTGTAACCGCGAAATGCAACTTAATACCACATGCAAGAATCCAAACATGCCGCAGAAGCTACACAAGCAGAACAGCATGCAACATCACGGAACATGCCCAGAATGAAATGTCAGTGCCTCAAGTCAAAAGGTGGGATGACGGTAGGTAGGATTACGATTATGACTACTATTACAACCATTCTTCCATTCCCTAGTAACCAAAGGTAAGTCTAGGGGTTTCGGGTTGGGGGTTTCGGGCTTAGGGATCCCTTTTGTAAGGACTCGTATTTGCGGGTTACCCCCACCTTCATCCCAGCTCTGGAGCCCCTGACATGTTCATGGCCTCAAAAGCTGGGATGAAGGTAGGCAGGATTAAGGATCCCTAAACCCTGAACCCAAAACCCTGAACCCTAAACCTTGGCTGCTTTTGGAGCCCTTTGAATGATACCGCTGATGGGCAAAATCCTGCATTACCCTTTATAAGGAATGTAGCATAGTTCCCATAGTTGAGAGTCCTTAGGGTCATGCAGGATTTTGTCCATCAGCACTACGTCCATGGCCTCAAAAGGTGGGATGAAGGTAGGCAGGATTAAGGATCCCTAAACCCTGAACCCTAAACCCTGGCTGCTTTTGGAGCCCTTTGAATGATACGTCCATGGCCTCAGGATGTTGGTGATGAGATCCTTTGCCATGGCCATGGCAGCTTGCCATCACCCAAGGCCTCGCGGCAACGGGGCGCGGGTTGCGGTTAGAGTGTCGGTTTTGGGATTTTTTCCCTCCTACCTCGGTTTTGGGTTCCGTTTTTGGGGTTTTGGGGTTGGGTATATGGTTAAGGATTTCAGCCCCGTAATACCATGTAAAAAGCATCCCGGGAACTGTGTTCGGTCCCGGATGTCCCACCAAACAAACACGTCTTGACTAAGTTCTCCTAGCAGCTCCAAACATGAATCAGTGCGTGGCAATTGGTCAGGTGAGTTACAACCCCTAAACCCTAAACCCTAAACGGACCAAAGGACTTTGGCCCTCTTTCGATAGCACTTTTGAGACCGGTTGATAGTGAAGCTTGTAAAAGGCTAGTCGGAAGCTATTTTGACAAGCTTTGCAAGACGCCTGTTCAACCACCCTCTTGAAAATGGGTCATGGTGGTGCTTACGAATAATTTGACCTGCTGTGGTCTCGTCTCATCCAGACCGCAGGCACGAACCCCCGAGCCAGCCTCTAGCGGCCTTGTCTTCGGGGCACCGCCATGCGCGAGGTGGTTTGGGACTCAGGTCTTGGGATGCAGGAAACGTGCGGGCGAGATCGCTCCACTTGGTGTTTTGGGTTATAGTTATGGCTTCAGCTTGCGCGGCCCGACTGCCACAACGAAGCATAGACTGCAATTTGGAGGACCTCTTGCGCAACAAGTACTACGACGAATAGTCCAAGCAGTCATCGTCGAAATGGTCATATCCTCAAATGCTCAAAGGCTAGGACAGTTTTCAGTTGAGTTCGGCTGTGCATGCAGGCTGGTCTGTCCGACGCTGTTTGGATCCAGGAGGCAGCTTCGGGCACGAAAGTTTTCGAGACCCCCCATTCCGAAACTACAACATCCAACCCCAAGTTGTCTTGAATCTTTAGACCTTACAGTAGAAGCCCAAAAGTTGGAAACCCGGTAGAAGCCCAAAAGTTGGAAACCCAATATAAGAGCAATGTAAGGGGAATCCCAGCTCTGTTTGGCCTTAATCCAGTTTCCAACTTTATGGGGTCTACTGTAACCTTCGACCCTACACCCCGAACACCCAAACCTCTGAACAGCGAAGCTTAAACCCCAGAACCCTGAACACCCCGAACCAGGAAACCCTGAAAGCCCAAAACCCTTTTGAAGATGTAACGTCCCTAAACCCTAGAACGATGGATCAAAAGAGAAAGTCTACACAGAACCATTGAACTTTCCAATCGTGATGTTGTGTTCCGCAAACCCAAGCCGTCCTCGTAAGGTTTCGGGTTAAGTTATAGTCAATAGTTATAGGTTTTGGATTATTCAGATTTGTGGTGTTGTGGTTTCGGGTTTCGGACAGTTTCGGGTTTAATCTGAGGTGGCATCATGCTTGGGTTCCGGATTCTACAGGGCCGATGAGGGAGCATGATAAAATGCAAAACCCTAAATATCCTACTCTAAACCCTGAACCTTAAACCGCACATTGTAGTGTGCTGGTGACCGCTGCGCTGGTGGTTCTTCAGCACCGTAAACCCTATCGTCCTCGAGCTCGGAATGAGATGCTCGCGAAGCCGCTTCCAAGTCCTGGGTTCTTGTTGAGAAAGATGTTACGATTCTTTAGTCAAGTTACATTGAACATGTTTTCCTGTTTATGGTATCTGAAAACAAAGCCGGGGTAGTCGGGGTGAGCCCACTAAGACTGGAATCGCAACGGA